CTATGGGCATAGGGGGGCAAAATTCTTTCAACCATGTTAACAATTTTCAAAGAGACCAGATCATCCAAATTGTGTAAGATCTTTATGGTACAGGGATGAAAAGGCCTGAAAGGCATAGGTTCAAGACGTCATACCCACAATGGGTAGATGAGGAACCTTTTCCTAGGAACTATAAAGTGCCAAAGTTTTCCTTGTTTCATGGTGAGGAAAATCAGTCAACAATTGAACACATAGGGAGGTTTACCTTACAATGTGGAGAAGTAGGAAATAATGACATTCTTAAAATGAGCTTGCTTGCACATTCTTTGTCTGGGACTGCTTTTACATGCTTCATTAACTTACCTGCTAATTCAGTTCATACTTGGGTGGAGATGAACAGCCAGTTTCATGCCCAGTTCTATAGAACAGAGCCAGAAGTAATTTTAGTTGATCTGTCTAAAATGAGGCAGAAATTCTCTGAGAGTGCGGAGGAGTTCATTAACAAATTTAAGAGGGCAAAGAATAGGTGTCGAATGTACATGCATGAGGTTGAAATTGCAAGAATGGCCCAAAATAGGTTAAAGTTTGAGTTGGGAAAGAAGTTTGAGGGGATGAAATTTAGAGACATGTTTGAGTTGTCATCTAGGGCAACTAGATATGAATCAATACTTAGGGAGGAAAGACATAGAAATACAAACTATTATGGAACTTATTTCCAAGAGGTTGATGTACAGACAAAAGTTAATGTAGGTGTGGCACCAATGGTCTGTGGGACTTTGAGGAAAGTGGACAAACTAGTGAACATGCTAGCAACTCAGCCAGTCAAAAGAAATACAAGTATTACATTTAGGCAGTATTCTTTTGATTTGTCTAAAGCTGATGCCATTTTGATGAATTATTGGCTCATAAGTTTTTAACATTGTCTCTTGGACATGTAATTCTAAAAGAACAAGATAGAGTAGGAAAAGAATATTGTAAATGGCACAATACTTTTAGACAGTCTACCAACAATTGTGTAACTTTTAGAAATTATATGTAGGATTTGATACGAAAGGGCTACTGAAATATGCAGAGAAGGAGAAAGGAGTCATGACAGTGGATAATAATCTTTTCCCATAAATGACACCAATCCATATGGTGACAGCTACTATTAAAAGGAACGCACCAAATCTAACTGTACTATTGGCAGACTTGGTGAGAATTCATAAACAGAAACAAGAAAAGGGAAAGAAGGTGATAAATGGAGACAAGTTTGTGTGGTCAATGTGCGGAACTAAGAAGGAAAAATTACAAGCAATTCTGGCTGACAAGTTGAAGAAGTGTGTGAAGGATCATGACCTAAGGTTTAACACCTTCAATGCAGGGAAGTTATTGTTTGATGGGCAAGACCCTGAGATATTCGAGCCTATCGACAGGTCATATGGTGAGGAGGATGGTCTATTTTTGTTTAAATGGGATCCTGTTTACCCTTCTTTTCATGGTGCAGAAGGGGTCAGAATTAAAGCGAGGCAGTTGAAAAATCAGAGGCCATCTAGTGGCCTTAGTCATGTTTAGCGGCCAGCTTTTGTACCAAGGCCAATTCAAAGGCCATTCATTGGCCAAGGTCAAAGGTTTATGGTTGGGAGTTCATTCAGGCCAAGTTAGTTTCATGGACAAGGCGTAGGGTTTCCATAAGCTTATTCCTTAATGCAACCAAGGATGGTGAAGCCACTAGTGCCCACACATGCAGGTTGGCAAGGTGTAGTGCATCCTAAGTTTCCTTTGTCAGGATGGAAGCCTATGGGTCCAACCAGGACTCAGGTGAGAAGAGAGCAGAGGAAGTTTTATTCTATGTTTTCAACAAAGAAGGGTGATAACCCAAAGAGAGATAATCAAAACAATTTGATTTAGGTAAGAGAGAAAGAGAAGGAAGAGAGTGGTGAGTCAAGCAAACAGAGAAGGTGGTGGATAAAACACCTAAAAAGATTCTCCATAGGAGACATTTACAGGAGATTTCTAAGGCACTCCTTTACGATGAAGAAAGTGGAGAAGATGAGGTGATTACTAATGGGAATGTAGTGGTGACAGGAAAGTTAGAAAGGGCTCCTGTCGACAGCAAGGAAAATACAAAGTCTGAAAGTTCTAAGGACTTTGGTGAAAAACTAGCTGCAATCAGGTCTGGTTCTTTGCCTACAAACCCTGACTGTAATATGATTCTGGCTTTACCAAAAAGGTTTGAAGCAAAACCTGGGCAACTCGAGCAGTTAGAAGGTGATGTAGAGGATTTATCAGAACTTGTTGTAATGATGACAGAGATGAATAAATCCAGAGAGGAGGCTAGCAAGTCCATTCAGGTGGTTAAAACTGATGGTAGTGAAAAGGTGGTACTCCAATCACCTAAACCAGAAGTAATAAAGCACTTAAGGCCTTTGTATGTGAGTGCTCACTTGAATGGTTGTTATTTGACCAAGGTGTTAAGTAATAATAGGGTTATTGTGAATATTTTGCCCACTAGAATTCTAAGTGTGATTGGTAAAACAGTTGATGATTTGATCCCTTCCGATGTATCTATGAGTGATTTTTTAAGAGGATCATCTGACACAAGAGGAGTGATTGTCTTGTAATTACAAATTAGAGCCAGAGTGATGGGGGCAACATTCTTTGTGATTGATTCTACCTCAAACTATAATTTGTTACTTGGAAGGGATTGAATTCATTCCGATGGTTGTGCGCCTTCGTCTTTCCATCAGGCCTTGATTTTCTTGACAGTAGAGGGCCAGGAAGGGCAAGGTATGGAGGTTTTTTGGGCAGAGGCAAATCCTTTCAAAGCTGATATCCACAATGTGGAGGCCATGCTATATGCTGAAGAGTTTAGCCATGTTGTGCTAGAAAATGAAGAGTTGAAATCAATAGGGATTGGACTAACTTATGGTTAGTTCTAGAAATTTGTTAAGGAAGGTTTTCGACAGGTGAGTCAGAAAGTAGGCAGTCCAAGCCTGTAGATGAAGTGCTGATTGAAGACATTACTAATGAAGATGAAGAAGAGTGAGAGTGAATGTGATTCTACTGTAATTAAAAGTACTTTTATTAGACTTTTTTTTTTATTTCTTTTAAGAGAAAAGGTTAGGTGGTATGTTGCCCCACTATTTTTGAGCAGGATGTGTGGTAGATGATAACCCTCTAGACGATAAGCCCATAACAGTAGGAAAAAGAAGGAAAAACAAGTAAGAAGAGCACCTCGGCTGACACGTCGGGCATCACCTTGCCACGTGTTGGTACTCAGAAAATATATCCCCACAATATTTTTATAATTATAACATGCATATCGTACATAATTATAGTTTTTCTCTACTCTTTTTTAAAAAAAAAAAAAGAGAGTTGAGACTTTTATGTTTTTACATCTAAAAATAAACAATAGTTTAGAATTGAACAAGCGGGTTGGAGTTGTGATTTTATTTATTTATTTATAAAAATGCTTATTATAAAATAAAATTTTCAAATAAATACCTTGTAAAATTTTATATATTATGTTATGTGATTGAGGGTAACATACTTAGGCCTATTTTGAAAAGAAAGAAAAAAGTTTGCTTACCAATTTATTTGAGCAAAAAAGGTTTTAGAATGTTTGAAATAAGTTAACAAGTGACATTATCAAAATACTATTGTGTATAAATAAGCCCAAAAAAGAAAAAAAAAATTACATGAAGGTAATAGAATCAATTTATAATTTTATAAGTGATATGACATTATATTAAAATAATGTAAAAAAATATAAAAAATTACTTATTTTCATCTTCTCTAATAATTTTATGAATAAATCCAAAAAAAAAAAAAACTTATTTTCATGTTCTCAAAACAAACCTAAATAAATTTATTAAACGTAAGCCAAGAATAGCACAATAATAGCCTTTTGAGAAACTAATAAAAAGTTACTCATTTTGAGTAAGATTACTTCTCACATAATTTACTCGATAAAATAAATTAAAAAAATCAAAAAATTAATTGTTTTATCAACTTCTCAAAATACTTCAATGTATAAACTAGTATTATCTTATTCCTATTTATAGTCAATTGACAAGTTGATTTAAAAAAATCGAAAAGACTTGCATTTGATTATTTAATAAAATCGAATCATGTTCCTTCAGAAAATATACTCAATCCAATCTAACCAACTCCACCCAATTCAACCCAACAAAAAACCAACTCAACCCAACAAAAAAACAAAAAAGAAAGAGAAGAAAAATCGAATTGATTCTGTAAACATGAATTTTCGGGTGGGTTTGGGTTAGCCGACCTCACTCGCACCAATCACCGAAACATATGGGTATGTTTGGTTTGCATTTGAGGGATGAATTTTAGAAAAAAAATTTCAAAAAAATTGTTTGGTTTGAGTTTTTCTTAAAAAAATTTCAAAATCACTTTCTGTCTCTTACACATTAATCAATCACTTTTTTCTCTCTCCTCTCTCTTTCTCAATCACTTTTTCTCTCACACACATCTACTCAAATTCTCCCAAAATATCAAATCATCTTAAACTCCCAAAACAACAACTCTCCCAAAATATACAACCAAACAAACCAAAAAAATTTCTAAACTCTCTTCCTAATTTTTTTTTCAAAAACAACTCTCTTAAAAACAAACCAAACAAGCCCAGAGTCATGTTTGGTAAAAGTTATTTTTTTTTAATTTTTTAAGTTAAAATTTATAAAAATATAAAATAAATTAATAAGATAAAATATCACATTAAATTTATAATCATTTCATAAACATCATATTTAATTATAAAAAAATCTAATAATTTTTTTAAATACAAATATGTCAACCTACTAAAATAGTGACAAACTAAAATAATTATGCCTCATTTGGCAATATCACTTTTTAGCCTAAATATTAAAAAATTATTAAAAAAATCAAAAAGTCAACGACTTATATTAAAAATTCAAAATTTTCATTTTTTCTTTATTTTTTACACATCTTTTATAAAAAAATTAAAAAATCATCCAAAATATACAAAATTTTTATACATCATATTTTAACCAAAAAAATAAAAAAATTACCTTGAAAAAAAACCTGTACCAAACGAGGGCAGAATAGAATAGAACCAAACCAGTCTCTCTGAGACTGAGGGGGCGAAGAAGAAATGCTACTCGCCGTACTGATCGCCAACTCTGAGGGCAACATTCTAGTTGAACGGTACGTTAACCTCCTTTCACCTTCACTCACATTCTCATTCTCATTCTCATTCTCATTCTCGATCCCTAAAATTTATTTATTTATGCCTCTTCTCTTCCATCATTTTGGATTATTTTTATTTTTAATTTGATTTGATTTGATTTGATTTCGCTGACCTAATGTTTGGGTGTTTTGAAAGCGCTGGCATGATGGGTTTAATTTTGTTGATGTGTTTATTATCATTCCATACATGAACTTTTGCTGCCTTTGATTCTTCTGTAAAATGGGGCAGGATTGGTTTTGGTTTCCATGCTTACCAAACAAGGTTTCTTTTTTAATAGTTAAGATTCGTTGATGTATTTAGTTTATTGTTATTTTAGAAATAAAATTGGTCCTTTTTTTTTTTTTTATATCCTCCCCGGAATTGACACACCATTCAGAATTCTAAATTCATAATCAAAGTTAAGATTTTACGTTTCTAATGTAGAGTGTGGACTTTGAAGTACAACATGGTTAAAGAGACGTGGGACTAGAATCATTATGCCCCAAAAACAGAAAAAAAGAGAGAAGGAAAGTGATTTTAGTGCTATCTGTTTCTTCAACAATTTCACTTAATGGATAATCGAGATTATTTTAGTGAAAGACGCTGAATGGATGGTTGATTTTTTTATTTATTGATTTATTTTTTTTTTGGACAAGGGGATGCCTGTTTGGTTGGGGGATTTAGGAAGGGATTTGGAAAGAGATAGAGAAAAAGTGTGTGAAACTAGGTGAAATGTAAGTATATTTTATTCACATTTTACCTATTTTTTTCCTTTCCAAATTCCTCTTCAAATCTTCCAACCAAATACAACATTAGAGAGAGAATTTTGAATTTCATCCATTTGAAATAATAAGAGTTAAAAGAAGTTACCGACTTAAATGACTCAAAGAAGAAGTCACCCATTCAGTGGGAATACTCAAGCAAAAGATGTACCTAACAAATAATTTCTTCAATCAAGGATAAACTCCTATGTATGGTGTTCTCAATTTAATATCACATTCTACAAAAGATTAAGGCATTAACATTAGCATACTCGATGCCTTGTATTTTAGTAATTTATTTTAACATGATCACGTCACGTATATAGAACTACATATGTTTGTTCCGCTAACATTTAAGCCCAATCGATATACGTAGCCTTATTTGGTACTTATTTGTAGTATTGGCTACAAATTGAGTTTGTCACGATTGGTGCCAAACTTGGACTTCCTTCAAGGTTTCCCTATTGCACAGCAAAGAACATTGGAAAGGAATTTGGAGAGTTTGGGACGGTTTTGAGCAGCATAAAAGTTTGATGGTGGGGTGAGAGGATGAGATTTTGGTATCATTGGTGGTTCTAGGAGGAAATGTGGGGGGTGCTTTTCCACACTAACATGTCTTCAACAAATCTTGTATGTAGTTTGAGTAAATTTCAAAACTTTTAATGCTTGGTAAATAGTTCTTGGATACTTAAAAACAAGTGGATAAATAAACCTCCTAGTAATTCACCTGATGTGCCTTTACCATTGAGAAGATGCAGCTACCCCTACCTGCAAAACAAACAATGCAAAACTCTTCCAGAAATCAAGCTAATATTTTTTGGTTGCATCCATTATGTGCTAGTGCTACTAACTTGACAACATAATCTTCTTTATTTGGCTGCATTTACAATTGGACCAGTAGCATGGAAAACATAAAAATAAAATTACTGCTGGTTATGATATTTTCAAAGGATTGCATGGTCGAAGCATCGATTCAGGATTTATGTTGTATTGTAGGTTCAATGGAGTTCCAGCTGAGGAACGTCTGCACTGGCGTTCTTTCTTGGTTAAACTGGGAGCAGATAATCTTGGGGGTGTGAAGAATGAAGATCAGCTTGTTGCTTGCCACAAGTATGTAATAATATTCCTTCTCTGACTTGGGTAAATGTTACATCTTTTGTGGTAGATGAATTATGTACTCTTTTAATGTTTAAAATTTTGATTAGCTTTTGGACTCTTTTAAAATTGTCTACCTTCACTAGACACTATGTTGTTACTCCATCAAAAATTTCTTGAAATTGCAGGGATTTATTCATTTCTCTGATTATCCAACAACTTTTAGTAGATTAAATTTAGTTCAAGTTCATATTTTTCAATTTTCGTATGTACAATGAATCTTATAGTTGTTCTTTATTTTTGTGCTGAAGAAAAGGAAGAATAAATTTGCTTTTCAGATGGTACCTAAACCTACTTTTTATTTCTTATTGGACTGTGCGTCATTTAAAAGTGAAGAATTCATCTACATTCTATTATGCTCTATTTGTTTCATTTGAATGAGATGGAATGAAATGAAATGGTGATTACTTAGGTTTTCCTAAATCACCCCTTAAAATGATGAAAGATGATTCCATTTGTAATACATTTGTCATTATTTTTTTAGTCTTACCAAACATGGGAATAAATATTTTGATGGAATGATTATCCCATTCCATTTCACTTCATTCTAGTGAACCAGACACTACCTTAGCGTTTCGTTAGATGACTTTGTTTTTTAACACTTTAGGAAAAGAGGAAGCATTCAGTGTTGTTTAAATGCTTTCCTTTTTCTTTTGGTGATAATACTCATCTGACAAAATGATTTGTTTAACTGCCGCAGAGTTTGTATTTGTTTCCAATTGGCTTCTAAGCACTGCAAAAGATATTTTTTTAACAGTTGGGGAAGCATGATTGGTTATACTAGAATATCCTTTATTTATCAGAAAAGAAGATAAATAATATCTGATTATTTGTCATATAATTGGTTTTGGATGTATTGCAACCATTTTTCTGATAAATGGTTTTGAAAGTATACTGACCTTGTAAAGAACGGTTTTTAGAAAATTTTCAGTAAAGGTTGTTTGGCACATGGGGTGATTAGTGACCTGAACTGGCTTGCACTGAGGACATTTTGACTGTTAAATTGTAACCCTCGTCTGTATGAGAAGTTGAGAATCTCACAAAAATGCTATTAAGTGAAAGAAACTAGAGCCCCAAATTATCCATGGGTGGCAAGATGAACTGGTCCACTTTGAGTCATCTTTTCTGCTTATGCTTATTGGAATTGTAACCTGCATTAAACAAAATAAAAGAGACAAATGAACATTCATTTTTTAGGTTCTTATAATGGATCTTAATTGCACCTGTTTGATTTATCCTTGGTTGCAGATCAGTGTATATCGTTTACTCTGTGCTTGGAGATGTTAGCATTTTCGTTGTTGGCAAGGATGAGTATGATGAACTTGCCTGTGAGTATATTTTATATCTATTCTCTTCATTAGTGATTTGGTGATTGCACATCCTTTCCTTCTGTGTGGCCTGCTGGTACTTGCTGGGTGACAATTATAGTGACCGGAGATGTGCTTTTTGTCTTTTATATTTTTGTGCTCAATCCGTAATTTCGATTCTTCTTTCTAATTTGGGTTGTTTGTCTGAAGTGGCCGAAGCACTTTTTGTTATAAACACAGCTGTGAAGGATGCGTGTGGGAAACCTCCAACGGAGCGTCTTTTCCTGGATAAGTATGGGAAGATCTGCCTTTGTCTGGATGAAATTGTGTGGAAGGTGAGGAAATGCACCAACATAGATTCTTAGTTTTTGCTTAGGCTTGGATATCCTTGAATCAATTTATGCTCCAAACATTTATTGCCATTATCTTGGTTGCACAAGAATGATTTTCAATCTCAAATTAACTAGTATTATACCACCGAGAAACTATCACCATACAATCATGCCTGTTGACGCATGAAACAAAAGGTGTACATGATAATTGTCTAGATGCAATTTAAAAGCAAGCTTACAGTCAAAACCTTTTAAATTAAGTAGGGCAGCAGATAATTTAAAGTCCCTCTGATCAACCTGCATCATGGTAGCTCATAGTTTTTGCATTACCCAGGTGATGTAGAACGCTATAGAGAAGAAGAGAGAGAAGAAGAAAAGGGTGACAATCTGACATTCAATAATATTCCAAATCTAAATATGCTGAAACCCCTAATTCAAATTAGGCAACTGAATCCTAATATTATTTGAAAAATTAATTGCTAATAAAATGAGGAACTAAATATACTAAGATCCTAATTAAACTATAAATAAAAAAAAATATTAAAACATAAAAGTACAAAACAAAACAAAAAATCTCAATGCCAACGTAGTGGGTGCATGTTCGCATCACCTAGTGTAATGGTGTACGAAGGTCATGCTTGTCATATAACCGGAGAGGCTAGCTTATGCGGTGGTGAATTGGTGATTTTCTTTTCCTTTCACAGGATAAAACAAGCATTTATTTCCTGTTGTCTCTTTTCTCATTATGAACAAAACATATTTTTACATGCCTGTGTACAAGACAAGAAGTGCGTCTTCTTTTACACTTCTTTTTACTGACTTTTGTTTTACATTCTACTCCCAAGTAGTTTCATATCATGCTTATGCTATATTTTCCTTTTTTGGTGCTGAAAGGGGTTGCTAGAGAACACGGACAAGGATCGAATCAAAAGGCTTATAAGGTTGAAACCTCCATCTGAAGTCTGAACAGGACACTGCTCGTGCTCCTCACCCCCTTCTTATCAATTGAAAGCGGAAAGTCAGGTCAGCGCTCATGTAGCATTTTTGTACCTATGACGATGGCTTTCTATAGTTTTTTAATGTAAAGATAATCTTATGCTTTTGTCTTGGATATCCATGAGATTTTCATTTAGTGGACCATATTGAATTTACTTGATGGGTCAATAATCATTTGTAGCCTTGATGTTGTTGCATGAAATCATGAAATAAAATGTCGCTCAATATACTTGATCCTTTAATCACTTTATAGTAATAGTGTATAATAATTTTGTTGCCCTAATTCAATTTAAGGGAGTTCTTTGTGAATGATATATATTTTTGTGGTCAACCAAAAGCTATTTAGGTGCCAGATTTACACCCATATGACTATTCTGGTTTTGTGTAACCGATTTAACATAACTAGGAAAAAGATCTAAATCTCAAAAAAACTCTGTAAAAAACTTGGATTATGACATTGATGAATTAGGTTTTGAGGACCTTTTTTTTTTTGTAACTTCATTTTTGTAATGTTATGCGTTGTATTGTCAATTGTTCTTATATTTTACATTTAAGGTGCTGTTGATGGTTGACTCTGAGGCTGCTTTTTTGTTGCACGTATGAGCAAAAAATTGTACGACGATGGGGAAATATATTGAAGCATTGTCACCCAATACCCATTATTCACAGTGTGTAGATAGATGACCTTTTTTCCACATTGGTTCTTCTTCCTCATCATTTATCTCTTCACGCACCCGAATTGCCACATCTTGCAACTCTAATGGTCAAATCAAAAGGCTTGTCAAACTCAAAAAGTAGTTGGACTTCACAAAAAAATTTCTCAGCTAAAACAATTGCCAACTTATGATAAAATTATTTTTTGCCAAATCAGATTTTTGGTTAAAAAACCCAATTAGTTTTCCAACTACAGTAACAACTTTTGCAATCCAAAACTCACATTCGGATATTCTAAAACTGCAAAAGAATCTACATATTAAAAAAAACTCAGTAATACTAAAGATTATATCCAATTAAGGCCTCATTTGATAATATTTTATTTTAGTAATTTTTTAATTTTTTATGAAAAAAATGTAAAAAAAACATAAAAAGAATAATGTATTAATTTATATTAATTTTTTAACTAAAATATATAATTGATAAACGAGACCTAAGTTTTCAAAGATACTTTTAATTAAAGGTAAATGCCCTTTGTTCTTGATGGAAAGAGGGATTGTCTTGAGTTGAGTGAACTTAACAATTGACTCATTTAATGGGTGAATTCATTGAGTTGAGTTAAAAGAAGGGGGTTTTTATTATCTAAAATGCCCTCTAAAAACTGGTCATGGTTCACATTGTAAATGATCATTTTTCTTTGAAAGTTTAAATGGCCATTTTAAATTTTTTTTAATTGACTCAAAATAAAAATTTTAAGGTCAAACGTATTGTTGCAATTTAAACAATAAAAATCAAATTGAAATTTTGATAAAATTCTAAAGACAATTGGTAAAATTTGCCGGTTTTGTTTGATTTGGTTTTTTAAAAACTAATTTTAAACAAGGTTCTGTTTGTCTTTAGTGAATTTTTTGTTATATATTTTAATCATTTTTTTTATTATGCCTTTTTTCTTATACATTTTATGTATTTTTGTGAAAAAATTACGTAGTCTTTTGATAGAATTATGATAATTTGTAGTTCAAAAATGAAATTACGCATTTTGTAATAATATTATTCATTTTGTGGTTTAAAAATATTTTCATGAAAAAAGTATAGCACAATCAAAAAAATACATTATATTATTACAAAATGAATAACTTCATATTTAAATAATAAATTATTATAACTCTAACAAAAGATTACGTAATATTTTTTACAAAAATACATAAGATATATATATATATATAAAGGACATAATAAAGTGCATATATTACACACCTGTTAAGAGGTGTGTACCAAAAGAATTTCTTCTTTATATTTGAGTTAGTATAAGGGTGTGTGGGGGTCGAGAATTGGGAGTCGTAGGGATTCCGGATAGTCGAATTTGGAAGAGTCAAGATTCGAAGCACTCGGCAATTGGCTCGAAAGCTCAAATCCAACCCTACTCAGCCAAATAACCGATTAAGCAAGGGGCCGAGTGAAGATCGATCTATTATAAAATGTGCTGAATATGAGGTGGGAAATGGATCTAATCCCGAGGCCTAAAAAAGAAAAGATATAAATAGAAGAAACATTAGCCAGAAGGAGGCATGTGAGAATTGTTGTACTAAACTTAGAATACAAGCATTCTTGAGCGTTGAGACTGACTTGTCCGTCGGAGTGTTGATTCCGGCACCCTCGACTGGAGTGTTTATTTCTTTTCAGGTGACTAGAAGAGGATCACGAGCGTTCCCCGGGATCAGAAGAGTATTTTCAAACCACTTATCCACAATTGGCGCCGTCTGTGGGAATACTCAAGCACATCCATGGCGAGCATGACGAAAGATCCTCCGACAGTCACTGTCGACCCTATACCGCAAGATGAAACCACTCCAACAAACATGCTTGGAACAGAGACTATCATCGCAAGATGTGCCTTGAATTTTGCCTTACCCTCGACTTCGGAGCACGAAGCAATGCAAGCGATCCTGGAACAAGCAAAGCAAAACGAACAAAGATTGGAGAACATGATCGCAAAGAACGAACATCTCCGTCAAGATTTGGCCTTGGAGGTGGCGAAGTCTAAACAAGCTGCATACCAAGGCCCGGAACTACCCGTGAGGGCAGCTGGTCGACAATTTCGAGCCTGACAACAAGATATTGATAGCAACTCCGACTCATTATCCTCGGAGCCCAAGAAGAAGGGACGATTTGAAATTTCCAGTTCTTTTGAAAAGAGTCCCCGTACAAGGCATAGGTGAAGAAGAAACAGCTCGGATCACGATCAACATGATCCTTTTGTACGACGGATTGCAAAGGCAGTGCTACCCAAGAAATTCAAAGCACCGTCATTCACCTTGTACGACGGTAAATTGGTACAAGATGGCCGGCTACAACAATACGTCCGAAAAGGCAACCCAACCAAAGCAATAGCCTTAACACATGATTCACATTCGCCCCGCGTGATCCACATGATATACAGCCTGCCAATGTCATCGGCAGTGCACGCGATTGAGTCGAAGTCTAACCCTCAAGAACAACTCACTCCGGCTAAACGGCCCCATGAAGCCGAGGTTATCACCTTTTGATGATTCGGATTTAGCCGGAGTAACACTGCCCTACATTGATCCCTTGGTAATTGAGTTACGCGTAAACCGATTCACAGTTGAGCGTGTACTCATTGATCCGGGGAGTACATCGAAGATTATGTACTACAAGACATTCACCAAACTCGGCTTCTTCGAATCGGATCTCTCTCCGGCCCCTTATCCACTATTCCGCTTCAATGCCAATCCAGAGTAACCGTTGCGAAAAATCAGACTTCCCGTTTGAGCAGGTTCCCAAACAGTGGATGTGAGATTCTTGGTCGTCAAGCTGCCGTCGCCATATAATCTCATCGTGGGGTGATCTTGGTTGCATACTATGCGAGCCGTGCCCAGCACCTATCATGAGCGTGTACTCATTGATCCGGGGAGTACATCGGAGATTATGTACTACAAGACATTCACCAAACTCGGCTTCTTCGAATCGGATCTCTCTCCGGCCCCATATCCACTATTTCGCTTCAATGCCAATCTAGAGTAACCGTTGCGAAAAATCAGACTTCCCGTTTGAGCAGGTTCCCAAACAGTGGATGTGAGATTCTTGGTCGTCAAGCTGCCGTCGCCATATAATCTCATCGTGGAGTGATCTTGGTTGCATACTATGCGAGCTGTGCCCAGCACCTATCATTAGCTGCTCCGCTTCTCGACAGAACGCGACATTGAACAAGTCCGTGGCTCCCAGAAATCGGCACAAGCATGTTATTTCCTTGCTGAGAAAATGCCAAAGGAACTACAGGTGAATTCCATTGAGTTGTCGGATCGAGAAAGCCTCGATAATGTTGGGCGGCTCCTAAATGAAAAGGCAACGGAAGACTTAGAACGAGTTCAAATCGATGGAAGCCCAGACAAGTTCTTCATGGTCGGCGCCTCCTTGAATCAGGCCGACAGATAGCAGCTAATATCTTTCTTGCTCAGCAACCTCGATGTCTTTGCATGGACTCCGTACGAGATACCGGGTATAGATCCGTCAGTTTCACAGCACCATTTGAATGTCGATCCTAAGTGCAAGCCGATCATTCAGAAAAGTCGACGGTCAGCCGCAGAGCACACTGCCGCCGTTGTTGAGGAGGTTGACAGGCTGCTTGACGCCGGAGTAATTAGGGAGGTGACCTACCCTACATTGCTCTCTAATACAGTGGTGGTGAAGAAGAAAAATGGGACTTGGCGAGTGTGCGTCGACTTCACGGGCCTAAACAAAGCCTGTCTAAAGGATTGTCTTCCTCTTCCCAAGATAGACCAGCTTGTAGATGCTACGGCGCGCCATTAGCGTATGAGCTTCCTTGATGCCTATAGAGGTTATCATCAAATTGCAATAATTGCTTTGTGTGGAGAAACATCATAACACGATTCGACATTCCCAGAGCTCTTATCTCAGACAACGGCACCCAGTTTGATTGTGGCGTATACCGAGAGTTGTGCAGCAAATATGGTATTCGGCCTTACTTTTCTACGTCGGCTTACCCTTAAAGTAATGGCCAAGCCGAAGCCTCTAATAAATCTATCTTGGACGACATCAAGAAGAGGCTGGAGAAAGCCAAAGGCAAATGGGTCGAAGAATTGCTGAGTGTACTGTGGGCTCATCGAACTACACTGAGAAAATCGACTGGAGAAACGCCGTTTGCCCTATGCTTTGGAACCCAGGCAATCTTACCCCTGGAGATCGGCCACCCGACACTCAAGTCGCAAGTTTTTGACACGGGCCGAAACGACATGATGCTGGCTTCAGATTTGATTCTAATCGAAGAACGAAGAGACCGAGCTCTTGCGTCCATGGCACAGTACCAGCAGCAGCTGGCAAAGTCATATAATCAACGCGTTCAGCTGCGCCGCTACACACCAGGAGAGTTGGTCCTGAAGAAGGTGCTCCCAACCGACAGGAAACTGGCCGATGAAAAATTGGGTCAGAATTGGGACGGCTCCTATCAAATCGATTCGATCGCTGGAGTAGGGGCATATCGGCTCAAAGACATATCAGGAAGGAGTCTGCCACGACCTTGGAATTCCACGCATTTACGCAAATTTTATCA